CTATATGATAAAGTTTGAGATGAATCTATAATGATTTATTATTCATCAAGATATCTAAAGATTAACGTCAAAATGGACTTTCATATAACGTTAATTTTGATGTAGTTCAATGACATAGTAAATCATTATAGATTAATCTCAAACTTTATAGGTATGATCTATACGATTGTTTCAACTATATGATGGTAATCACGAGCACGCGTTGGTTTGACTTGTGATTCTTCCTTAATTAGTATTTTTAGTGCTGGTTTGTTGGTTTGACTTGTGATTCTTCCTTAATTAGTATTTTTTAGTGCTGGTTTGTAATTCTTTCTCGACTAGTATTCCTAATGCTTTAACTACGGCCACTCATATTTCAATATATATCCAACTAATTAATCAATTAATTTCTAAATAGAAATTTAATTAATCTTTTTGATTACTTAATTAATTAAAACTCTTAATTTGATGAATAACTAATATATTAATACAAATATATATTCCCAAATAATATAATTGGAATATAATAAATAAATAAAATTTAAATATAATATATTCCTACAGTGGACACAAGCAAAACAAAATCCATCTTGGCCACTCGCCTCCAAAGAAAAAAAAAAACAATAATTGTTTTTAGGCAAGGTTACCTTCAGAGATCTATTTTAAATCTTTCTGGAAGAACGAAAATGTTTAATCCTTTGCTAAAATTAAAGAATGAGAAAGATTTTCAATTGGAGCAGAGCAACAAAGGGCATTTAAAGAGATCAAGAAGTACTTAGTCAACTCTGCCATCATGATGATTCATATGAAAGGAATACCACTGATAACAAAAGAATAAACATATTTCTTTTCATGTTATATATATTTACCTGTCTATATGTCAAAATACTCGATAGTGGTACAACACATACATGTATCTAAATTTCAATTTACTCTAAAATATCACATAAATATAACTTGCCATGTAACAATTCATTGGCATAATCAACATCATGTTGTGGCTGAAAAGAACAAAGAACATAAGCTATGATCATCTTTTTACACTTTGTTTGCTTGCAACAAGACTAGGTGCATGCAGGCGTGCTCCATGTACAAAAAAGAAAAAGCTCGCCCCGAAGGAACATTAGAATCATGACAATGACTCCAATCTAGTCTGATCTTGGTCTATTTGCACCATTTTTATTGCTGCCATATAATGGTAATAGCCATCGTGATCCATGTTTCCTTTTCGCACAACACCGCCAATATAGAATGAAAATAGATAGTATTGCACAGAGAGGAATAGCCCATCTGCAGTTTCAACAATCAGAAGAACATCAACATCAATATTCCATAAAATCTTGTTATTTGATAAAAAAAAGACGGTGAATTACCTGTCAAGATCGAGGATAGGGCTGTAAACAAGAGTCTCCCAAGATGCAACTATAAAATGCCAAACAGGGTTGTAGTAAAGTGACTCTGCTGACCAAAACAACCTTGTGTAGGTTTCCAGAAATATAAAAAGTAACCATCCTCCGATTTCGACCAAAATGAACTTTATAATAAACCGGCCAAGCACAACTGTTACCAAGGAGAAAGCCACCAACCAATTGAAAAGCCTGTGGTTGTACTCCTTAATAAATATAGACTTAGACTTTCCCAACATCTGCATATCCGTTCGTTACGTTATATGAAACAGTGGCAAATCAAGCAAAACTATTAACTAGAATAATTCAGTTGCATGTACTAGATAGAGTAAAGAAATTACTATGCCTGACCTTTGCCATGCGTCCCTCGTAGTTTTCTTTTGAAGGTCCAACACATTCAAGCTCAAAAGTATGATTGCATTTCTCGAGACCTGCGTTAAATTTTGCCATTGAAGGAAGCTTGAGAACTTGAAGCTGATCCATTATGTCCTCGCATTCGGTGTACAGTGCCTCACAAAGCTTTGAAGATTTATATTCATTTTGTAAAACGACATTCTTAAATACCTGCATGATTATCCTCAAGTAAATACAACTTTTTCCATAGTAAACATAAGCTTGAAATCATCAGATTCAAATTCCAAGACCAAAAGCTAGTTATGAAGCCATTGATATTTCAAAGTTTTGTGATTTATGAATCCTTCATAGGTGAAGCTTTGTGATTCGAATAAGCCAATAAGCCAATATTATTTTGCAAACATCTATTACGCTATAATGAATATTAAAGCAAGACCTTGTCAATTTCTTCATCTAGTTGCGTGATTGATTTCTTAGCATGGTGACGGCCAAAATGTTGTTGATCGAATGCTTGCATAGCTTCACCTCTAACTGTATCATGGGACGATCGTAGAGATCCTTCTGAAAGAGGTAAAGTCAAGGTTGCCATCTTGCCACTGTATAACTTAAGACATCTTTCAAGAATATCCTTGTTGAAAATCTCCACAAGGGAACCTGTTGACGGAATCTCTCCCTTGTTCAAGGCTTCAAGTATCTAAATATAAAAAATAGAGCTTTTTTTAATGGAAATATGCAAGATAAATTCACACAATTCTAAAAGCGTTAGAATTCTTTATTATTTCCATTCAAGATGACATAAAAACCAAGTACCTGCTTCAGGAAGGAAACAAACTCTTTCCCATTCAGAGATTTTCCTTGTACAATCTTTGGACGGATTATGCTAGAAACAAGATCTTTTAGTTGATCTCTTTTCTTCACATATGATGGATCAAGGTCCTCGTCCTTCAAGTCACAAAGCTTTGTCCGCTGAAGATGCGGCTGTTCAAAATCCAATTTTAAGAATCAGTTAACTTTCTTCACAATCAAAACATTCTAAGTTCCACCAGTTGTGGAAATGGAAATGAATGACAAAGATTTTTAGAAGACGTGAGGAAGACACATACTTGTGGTAAGCTAAAAGCCGTACTGTTGTCACCCATTATAGCCAATGAATCTCGGATTTGATTGATCTGATGATGTAAACTTTCAGTATAGACATTCAATTACAAACTAGTAATATCTTTAATAATAATTGGAAATTGAATTCCAGAAGAGAAAATACCATATCAATATTTCTGTCTCCTGCAAGTTAAAAATAAACAAAGTGTACCATTAAAAAATGCTTCAAAAAACATGAAAAATATACTGTGGATAAAATTAATTTTAGTGATAGTTAAAAGCAATGATACGCACTACCAGTATTGGGGACTTGTCGAAGAGCTTCGTCCACCATTTGTTGTACTGATTTCCCTTCTGCAGGCAATTACGGAAGACGTTAGTATCCGATAGAGTGCACATAATGGACAAGGATATCAACAGAGATACATTGCCAATTACTCAAGAATCATCTAACTTACGCAGAAAATCGCGTTGGATAAGCCACAAGAGCTTAGCAGGTTCAAATGCAACATCTTGGCCCTATAAAAGCCAGCCATAGGAAAATAAATCAAATTCACAACGAAAAAAGTTCATGAAATAAATTGATTAGATGAATGAGGATAGTACTAAAGCATGTGGACTACCTTCACTCTATTCCGGCACGCAGAGGTTGCAAGTTATAAATATTGGATTTGCAAAATTAAACAAACAAGTTAGTAACCATAATTTACTCAAAATATGATTACAGAGCAGAATTAGAAATGATGAGAGACGAGTTAATAATCTGAATGATATCAACAAGCTAAAAGTTCATCAAGGTGCAAACCTTCCGTAAAATTCTTCAGCAAGCTCAACCGCAAAAGAGAGTCTAGAGATGTCAGCTTCACGTATCTTAGTACACAAAGAAGAAAACATTTTAGCATGGCCTAAAAAATTTAGAACCAGCTCATCACTGAAACTTGGAGTTATCAGTTAAGTTCTACCAGATTGTTAATGCTCAAAATGGACTTTTTTTATCTTTCTAACTAACATTACATCAACATAAAGAACACGAATTTCTGAAAGGTTATGATGACTAACCGTCTCGGGCAGATTATAGATAAGCACGGAACTTATTACAGTTGCCAGAGCAAATATCCTGCCAAAGAAAAACACAAGAAATGGCTAATTGATGAATAGCATGTGATATAAACATAAAATGCAGAATACAAGATCCGTAAACAATTACCGATCATCATATACATTCGACTTCCCGATGCTTTCGAAACCTTCTGTATCTATGTAAAAGACAGAGGTTTTTACTCCATCAATCTCCAAGTCTATCGGAGTTCCCCAAATCCATATTCCTGAATGATATGACCAAATGAGATTAAAGAAAGATTGAAAAAGATTATATCAAACTCCAACTTAGCATAACAATGGGAAAAATGACAAACTCCATCCACCTTTTGTTTTTGTATCACGCATGTGCCCCACACCAAACCCTAACAAAGCAAATACATTAGTTTACATAAATATTTAAAAGATGTCAAATTACAACTGCAAATTTTTTCTAGAAATTGTATGTGTGAAGAGTAAATTCTAGTAGCTATAAAAGATGCACCTTCATAACAAGAGAGAGAGAGAAGTTGATTCAGCAAAAAAGACTTTCCCGAGCGGTAAGGTCCAATTACCTAATAAAAATAGCAGTAAGAAATCACACAATAAAGAAGGACATAAAACGATAAAAGTAGAACCCACAAACGGTAAACATGTAACAAACAACATTTTTTAGCTGAAGATTGCACACAAAACTAGTTCACAAGATATCATTAAGTGTCAAGAAAATTCCAATTAAATAAAAGGTTAAATTCAGGAAACCAAAGGATGTTTATAGCTGCAATCTAACTTACAGCCACAGATGCAATGGGGTTTGTTATTTTCTCAATAGCCTCCAAGCCTTCCGGTGAAAGACGGAGCTTTGTATGACCGGGATCGGGTTCAACAATGGGAAAACTGTACACAAAAATTGGACAATGATTAAGGTCTAACAAAAGAAACTCGATCGTAAAATATCTAAGAGGTGATAAAACAAGAACAAGGATTGTAGCAGAAACAGCATAAGAAAAGTTGGTAATTATCATCACAAATCAATAATAATGATAACAAAGAAAGATTTGCAGTCCCAAAATACTAAATTGGCAACATAACACAAAAACAAAATACATGTTACATATTCTTTTCAGTACCACCAAACTTAAGAACAATTTCTCACAATATCTACATACAACCTGAGAAAAATTATCACTTGAATGTTCTGTTATTGCAGTGTGTTTCCCATTTTGTTTAAGTTGTGGAGGGTGAATTATCCAGCCCATGTTCTAACATGATTAGTTTTTTTTTTTGGTATGAGTTGAGTATCCTCTGCACGCAACTGCAGAGACTAATCTCTCGAGCCAGAGAGAACCACAATAGACGACAAAGCTCTCCATCAAGAGATTTAACACTGATTCTGCCCAGAACTGGGTTTGAACCCAAAACCTCCGGTTAAGCTGGAAGAGACCCTAAATATCACAGCCAAGTGTTCTTGGGTCTAACATGCTTAGCTCAAAACTAACATGACTAGTTTACATATGCTTAGCTCAAAACTAGCATGATTAGTTTACATATGCTTAGCTCAAAACTAAGCATGATTAGTTTTGCGCTAAGCATATATATATTATTGTGCACGCCTGCAAAACTATTTGAGTACATGAAAATCCCACCATACCGTCTTCATTCTTACTACTGAAATGGCAAATCGTTTTTCCTAATTCTTTTTTATATAATCTTTCTTTTCCTAAAAGAAAAGTCAATATGTTGGCAAAATATCCATAAAGTAATCTTGTTCATAAATTGGAACGTGGAATTGGTGGCAACAGATAACAATACAAAGAAGCTACATTCATCCTCAATTCTAGAAACCACATCCATACATTAGCAAACAATCCACTAAGCTCAGATAGTAGCTACCATAGTATAGACATATAATAATAACATAGGGAAAACTAGCTCAAACAACCCATAAGCAGCATTGTTCTAAATGCAAAACTAGCTCATATTTTGGTTTGAAAGTCTTAGTCAACATGCAAATCCATCTCTTCACCTCTAAAAAAATTGAATTTTCTGTTCAAAATAAAAGTGAGACAAAATGGCAAAGGGAATCTCACGTCACCCCAATAACGTCAAAAAGTTTGAACAATCAAATAAAAGTGAACAGTAACCAGATCTCATAAAAAAAAACACATTACAAATAGAAACATAAGGTAAAAGACTCACGGTTGATGAAAATTGACAATAGTCGATGAAGAAGCAGATGAAAAGACAAACAGAAGAAGAAAAAGAAAGGAGAAAACAGTGTTATTATCACCCATGAGAAGAGTGTTTTCAATGCGGTTGAATATAGAATCGAAACAAACGGGGGTTATTGTTGTTGATGAAGCAATGTCAATGGGGAATCAATCATTTGATGGTTGAATTGAATCGAATTTAGTGAAAACATGGAAGTTGAAAGAAAGGAAGATGAAATCGGGTTGGATCTGAAACGACAAGTCTTTGATTTCGATCCTTGTCCGAGCGCCGAGGTAACCTTGTCTTGTTGATGTTAGAAAAAAAACACCACGGTAACTCATTTCTTCACGTCATTGTCTTTTTTTTTTACTACTTGTCTATTTCATTAATTTTTTATATTTTAGATATTGATATTGATGTGTTTGTTATAAATATTTATTACTTATTTTATTTTATTTTATTTCTTATGTGTGTAGTTGGAATTTTTTAGTTAAAGAAATTGTCTAGTGGGAGTGTTTATGGATAGCTTCAATTGACTATTTAATTATATATGTGAATAATAAATTAAATTGATTAATTAATACGACTTTAATAAAAATGAAGTAATTATATTGATTAGTGATCAAATTAAATAATAAAGTAATTATATTTTTAAATGAATACTAAATTATATATTTGATTAATTAATACGACTTTAATCAAAATGAATGTTTGATGATTCATTTTAAAATAAAGAAAATTTTAATTGGTTTAATAAGTGAAAAAAAGTTTGAATTTAATTTGATTTTTCATGATCTATAAATTTTAAATTATATCTTTTATGGACTTATTTTTAAAATATATTATATTATATTATATATATTTATATATTATTGTGGTAAAGATTGATTTTTGTTGATAAATAAGGATATAAGTGATTTGATTTTTTTTCTTCTTTTGGGCTTTGGGAGAAACAGTAATTTAGAACTCGTGGCGAGAGACTATGATATTGGTCAAATATATAGGGGTGGAAATATGTCAGATTGGTCTACATGATCTTATAGTCTAATCTACTTAAGGTCATACATTTAATAAAAAATTCAAACTTAAATTTTTTTAAACGCCTATTTAATTAAATAGTTAGGCTATTAAAAATCTATAAAATCTTATAGGCCGGTCTATTTCATATATATTAAAAATAGGCTAAATGAGATAGTCTATATATGCATATATATTAGAAAAAAAATGTTAAATAGGTTGACTTATATATGCATATATATTAGAACAAAAGCTAAATAGGTCGGCCTATAAGAATTCTTAAGTAATATGGATTAGTTGAAAATCTTAATGAGAAATATGCTTTTAAATAGGCTTTTAGGTCAGGACAGACTTTTAAAAAGGCCAGGTCAGGCAAAAAAAAAACTTATAATAGACCATAAACCAGATTCAGGCACTTTAAGTTTATCATATGCCAGACTCAGGCCTTATCAAGTCTAGCCTAACCTATTTCCACCCCTACAAGCATGTATTCTTTGAATCTTCGTGTGTAGTGATAAAAATGTTGAGACTAAGCCATTAGATTGACTCGACTCGCACAAATCAAAATAAAAATCGCCATCGCGCTTTATTGTTTCCAAAGGAATGGGAAAAGAGAGAATAACCCCAAAAGAGGGGGAGAGAATCTAAGTTCGGGAGTTAGTTATGCAAAGAGAAGGTATTAGCACCCTAAACATCTACGATACTCTGCAGGAACCTCTTTGTAAATCTGTGTATTTTGGTTATAAAAGTTGTATAAAATAATAGATGGTGTAACACTCCAATTCTACCCGACAATTATATATGCAAATCAGAGTTATAATCATTCATGCAAACAAATCAGGATGCCACAAATTCATCTTTAAAAACACATTGCATTCATCGTGGATACGTAACACTTTAAAACTTCGGATGAACCCTCAGCATAATACTTTAATCTCTCAATTCAACAATTTAAACATCTACGCAACAGAATTCTTAGTAACATTTGTATCCCTCGTTACAGCAACTTCAAAATAACACATACTTAATAACAATCAAATTAAAGTTCAACAACTGGAATAATCAACAATTAAAAGAAATAAACGTTCATCCCCCAAGTGTTACATATCAGAGCAATGACACCGACTCGAACTACTGAAGGTATACAACCTTCACTCTGGATTACCTGCACGTTACCAACGTAAGAGTAACATTCAAACAGAAGGGGTGAGATATATAACAATATAATAAAACGTATGATAATTAATATATTAAATTATATCACATAACACCACCACTTCTCATCTTATAATCAACAATAATTGCAACGAAAATACCAACAATAATACACATTCACCACATCAATTCACAACTTCTTTATGCAATCATATAATGCGACTCGATACTATGCAAATGCATGTGATTTATCTTCATCCTTTACTTTAATTTGATGGTAACCCGACCTCAAATCAATCTTACTAAATACACGAGCATCCACCAATTGGTCCATCAAGTCATCTATTCTTGGAAGCGGATACTTGTTCTTAATCGTCACTTTATTCAACTGTCTATAATCAACACAAAGCCTCATACTTCCATCTTTCTTCTTTACTAATAACACTGGAGCTCCCCGCGGTGATACACTTGGTCTTACAAACTTCTTTTCAAGTAACTCCTCCAATTTCTTCTTTAACTCTGACAATTCAAATGCAGATATCTTGTATGGTGCCATAGACACAGGTCTGGTACTAGATACAAGATCAATAGCAAATTCAACTTCCCTCTCCGGCGGTACATCAGGAATTTCATCAGGGAAAACTTCAGGAAATTCACACACCACCTGCAATTCCTCAATTATAGCTTGAGTCTCTACAGATAGCGACGCTATCAGCGAGAACATTTGTGCTTCTTCCTGCATCAACTTCCTCAATTGTTTAGCAGACAACATACTATCTTCCTCTTCTTCAGGAGTAGAAAACCCCACAGACTTGTCATAACAGTTAATATGAACGTAGTTATGCTCTAACCAGTTCATACCAAAAATCACATCCAAACCTCTTAACGGTAAATAAACCAAATCAACAACAAAGTCTTTGTCGAAGATCGATAAGGGACACTTTAAACACACAAAAGAAGTAGTTACCAAACCCTTGGCTGGAGTATCGACGACCATTTATCCATTCATAGAAGACAATATAAGACCCAATCTTTCAACACAATCAGCAGCAATAAAATAATGAGTAACACTGGTATCAATAGTAGTAGTTAAAGGAGTACTATTAATTAAACATGTACCTCTGATAAGTCTGTCCTCAATAGCTGTCTAATCCTCAACCAAAGCGAACACCTTACCACTTGTCTGCTCCCTCTTCGGTTTCTTACACTGACTACCGATGTGCCCTTCTTCACTATAGTTGAAACAAATCACATCCTTATCCTTGCACTCAGATACAACATGTTCATTCTTACCACAATGCAAACACCTTGTTACTTCAGTAGTACACACATTACTCTTATGCCCAGGTTTCCCACATTTAAAACAAACCACACCAGCAGGAGCATCTCCCCCACTAGTCCTTTGACCCTGAGTAACTTTCTGTTTACCCTTACCAGCTGGGGTATCATAAGGCTTACCATGATTTTGTTGGTGCTTACCCCTCTTCTCACCGATAATCTTGTAATGAGCATTATTATCCTCTTTATAAATCCTGCAGCTATCAATCAAATCAGCAAAGACACGAATCTTCTGGTATCCAACTGCCTTCTTGATCTCCGGGCGCAACCCGTTCTCAAACTAGATACACTTCGAAAACTCAGCATAGTGTGGATAAAACTTAGCCAACTCAGAAAACTTGGAAGCATACTCAACAACCGACATATTCCCCTGCTTCAGCTCAAGGAATTCAATCTCCTTCTTACCACAGACATCTTCAGGAAAGTACTTCCTCAGAAATTCCCTACGGAACATAGCTCAAGTGACATTTCACCTGCAACTTCCAATCTCTGACAAGTCTCTAGCCACCAGTCATCAGCTTTGACTGCTAACATATGAGTACCATATCGAACCTTCTACGCTGGAATGCAGTCCATCACACGGAAGATTCTCTCAATCTCTTTCAACCAATCCAATGCTCCGTCAGGATCATACTTTCCCTTAAACATAGGCGGATTCTCTCTCTGGAAAGTCGCCAAACTACGAGATTCAGCATTCCCGTCAGCATTCGATTGATTCTCCATCACATGAGCCATTGCCTCTAAAGCAGCAACAAGTGCAACATCATTCCTTCTAGCCATCTCAACTTATCACTATAACATAAACAACGATTAGAACTTGAATCAACAATACTCGATTGTTAGATAACCACAACTCGACAACAAAGTCAGACCAACTTATTACTCTGATACCAACTTTGTAACACCCCAATTATAGCTGACAATTATATATGCAAATCAGAGTTATAACCATTCATGCAAATAAATCAGGATGCCACAAGTTCATCTTTAAAAACACATTGCATTCATCGTGGATACGTAACACTTTAAAACTTCGGATGAACCCTTAGCATAATACTTTAATCTCCCAATTCAATAATTTAAACATCTACGCAGCGAAATTCTTAGTAACATCTTTATCTATCGTTACAACAACTTCAAAACAACACATACTTAATAATAATCAAATTAAAGTTCAACAACTGGAATAATCAACAATTAAAAGCAATAAGCGTTCATCCCCCTGAGTGTTACATATCAGAGCAATGACACCGACTCGAACTACTGAAGGTATATAACCTTCACTCTGGATTACCTGCACGTTACCAAAGTAAGGGTAACATTCAAACATAAGGAGTGAGATATCTAACAATATAATAAAATGTATGATAATTAATATATTAAATTAGATCACATAACACCACCACTTCTCATCTTATAATCAACAATAATTGCAACAAAAATACCAACAATAATACACATTCACCACATCAATTCATAACTTCTTTATGCAATCATATAGTGCGACTCGATACTATGCAAATGCATGTGGTACCATTGGAGCAGAACTCCCATCAAAAAAAATCTGCCAATA